ACATTTTCTACTTGAGCAAATGGTATCAGCTCCTCATTTTTCCTCTCCCTCCCCGCTCCCCCCTCATGAACCCTTGATAATTTATAAATTATTATTATTTTGTATATCTTACACTGTCCGACGTCTCCCTTCATCTACTTTTCTGTTGTCCATCCCCCAGGGAGGGGGTTTATATGTAGATCCTTGTGATCAGTTAGTTCCCCCTTTCCACCCCACCCACCCACCACCCTCCCAGTATGGACACTCTCAGTACTGGTCCTGAAGGGCTCATTGGTCCTGGATTCCCTGTGTTTCCAGTTCCTATCTGTACCAGTGTACATCCTCTGGTCTAGCCACACTTGCAAGGTAGAATTCATATCATGATAGTGGGGGAGGAGGAAGCATTTCGGAACTAGAGGAAAGCTGTATGTTTCATCGTTGCTACACCACCCTGACTGGCTCGTCCCCTCGCGAGACCCTTCTGTAAGGGGATGTCCAGTTGCTTACAGATAGGTCTTGGGTCCCCAATCTGCACTCCTCCTCATTCACAGTGACTTGAATTTTTCATTCTTTGATGCCTGATACCTGATCCCTACTTCAGGATCTTGAAATGTTCTTGTTGACAATTGGTCCTCCCTGGAATAGGAGGCCATGCGATTCTCTGATGCAGACAGCCAGCGGCGGTCCTTCTCAGCTCCCAGATGCCCAGGGTCCCGTGACCTCGGAGCGCTGCACCTAGTTTTTGTCAGCTTGCAGCTTCCCTGGGCGTGTTCTTTGCACACGGGTCCTGCGCTCCTTTCTTCTCACTCTGAGTTGTGCCCTGTCAGCAAACGCAGGTGCCGAGAGCCCTGCTCCGTCCACTTGAGCGAGGCCCCCAGTACCGTGAGGAGGCATCTCTTCCCCAGGCCTGCTTTGAGCACCTCCCAGCGCAGGGCGCAGCCTCCAGCCCTGCCTCAGACAACGTCCACTGCCACGCAGGGCTTTCCATGGCTCCCTCTCCAGACCAGAAGCAGCCCACCTCTTCCTTCTTCCTAGTCTGTCCAAGTGTGGAAGCCCCCGGAAGCTTTTTCACCATGGGTGATGCGGCGGTATTTAAAATACCAATGGCATAGCTTCCACCTGAATCCCCTAAAATCAGTTAGCTAGTCCTCAAAATTTAGAATGTGCTCTTTCCAGGGGGGGGGGGGGCGCCTAGGTTTTAGCAGATTCCGTCGCAATAAGGCATTTAACACTAAGTCAACAGTGTGGCATGCTAATGTACCGCAAAGTTCAACGGTTAACACAAAAAGGCCACTAGCCATTCCCAAACCCAGGCAAAACTCCAGGTTTACTGTGAACCACAGAGGCCTAAACGTGCCCTCTTACCATCCCCCACCACCTGCCTGCTCCCCAAAGCCCCTGA